GATAACTCCACAGGCGCTGTTTTTCTCATGTGATATAGCCTCGAATGAAGCATTTAAAATAATTTGAAAAAGGCTAATCCAAAGGACGCTTCTCCTGTGGATAGGAGATGCAATAGATGTAAAGAGAGTAGCTGCAAGAATGCAGATTATTGAAGAGGGATGATGTTGTTACATCATCCCAAAGCTTGCAAAAATATGATACCTTTGCCTTTATTCAGCACTAGTTGCTACACTGTAATGTGTTACACGTATAGATTGCTAGCTCTGACACAAAGATGACATTGAATCTATAGCACAGTTCTTCCAAAATGCAAACTGAAATTTACCCGCCTCTGCTGATGATTTGGGGGTATATTAAAATAGCTTATCTTGGAAGGTGCCTGATTTCTATTTTGCTTCCTCTACCTTGTCTTTTCCAGTGCCTCTTTTCTTGAGATGTAACAGTTTAGATGCATGTAGAAAAATGTCACATATACCTTTGATTGAATTTTATTTCTCTATTGTTTATGGACTTGCTGTGCATTTGCAATCATTATTAATAAATCAATATGCTTTTGTCTTCTGTCACAAAGTAATGTATGTATTCAAAAAGAATTGTATGCAAAGCAAGTCATGTTTTAGAGCTAGCATCATTAATAATTACCAGTTTGCAGCATTGTTACAACATGTTTTGAGAGAAGCTTATTATAAAAGAAATAACAAGGCACTGCACAGTAGCAAGAAAGAGACAGTTCAGTTCATCACTGGTATGGGTGTTATAAATATGCCAGTCTGTACTATAGTGTTTTATTAAGTCTCAGAAAGTCAAAGCTGATTTGAAATAATAATGTCTGACAGTCGGTTCTTTGAAGTTTTGCTGCTGCACTCTCACATTTAGGCTTTCTTTTATGTATGACTTTACCATAAAAAACAAAAACACACACATGGCATGAATGCTTTTTTTTTTTTTCTTCCCATATCTGTATTTCAAAGAAAGCAATGAGAAGCTACTCCAGTGAATTAAACAAAAAAAAAAAAGCCCCCCCCAGCTGATGGGATAGGCACAGGCCCCTGTAAGGCCGTGCAACATTCATGTCAGGGCTAGCTGGGCCTGCTAACTTGGTGAACTCCAAAAAAGCGAAATTAGAAAGAAAATCAAGGAAGCAAAAGAGTCAGGAGGCAAAAGCTATCCCTGATGGGGACAAGATGACTTCCATGGAGGTGGCCAAAGTTAAGGGCTTAGCAGCGCTGGCCAGCACGGGCGCTCTCCATCCCGCCTCGCAACAAAGAGCTGGATTCCATCCATTCCCTGACTGATTGATTACTCTGTGGACAAATGTTAATTCTCTTCATCGATGCTTTGTCATTGTGGAGAGATCCTTTTCATCCAACACCTACGGGTTTTTTGCTCTCCCCACTCCTTTTTATTTTTCCTGCTTATTTATCTTTTAGCGATCTCTTCTTATTCCCCTTTCCAAAACTATTTTGTCTAACGAAATTCTCCCAGTACTTTTAACTCCTTTACTCTGCAATTAAAATTGCTAACAAAGTATGTAATAAACCATGATACTAAAAAATGCTAAATTATTTCATTCAGTCATCCCAATCTAATTATGCTTAACCTGCTTGCTTTCCTTGAAAGAGTTTTTTTCTCCTAGTTTATAACAGAAAAATGTAAAAGATCACAATCGGTGCGTTGTTAGTATAACTAATTGCTGCAGCACAACTATGTGAGTTACATCTTAGATGCGTCAGTGCTAAATATGCTGCTTAGTCTGCGGCATAAACCCAACTGCAGCTTATAATGCAGTCAGTGCCGAGAGCTGGAAGAGCATAAATGCTGCTTTTCCCTTTGCACATCCCTGCCCGTGGCGAGCGGCCCGGCGCGCGGGGCTCGGGAGGCTGCGCCGCGGGCCCGGCGCGGGCAGCCTGATGCAGTGCAGATGTGAAGGCCGGGCGGATTCCGCGCTCGGCGCTGGATCCTGCGCCGATGCTTTGTCTCTGTAATGAATCAAATCAGAACATGAATCAATATGGATGAAGACATTTTACTGGTGTCAGAAGAATTCTTTGTAGATTTTATATGTGTGTGGAAAACTAATTTGCAGTAGGAAGAGAAGAAAAAATCCCTTTCTTTTTCCCAAACCCTTTCAAAATGTGTGTATTCGTGAATGCAGAATATAGAACTTGAAGGGAGACATGCCTTTCAACTCTAAACCTTTATATTTATGTTCATGTCTAATGTAAAGGACCTCCAGAGAGCTTTAGCACATAGCATGATTTTAAATTCTAAAAATTATGCATATCAGTCCTGCTAATTGAAAATTTACAGGAATTTTAAAGGAGTTACGTTTACAGTGCCATATAAAAGTTCATTAAAAGAATCATGATGTATTTTTCTAATTTTTCCAATAGCAGAATCCGATAGCTATGGGTTGTATAATCAGATATCTTTTTTAGAGAATTTGAATGGCATAATAGGGCTTAAAAGAAATTCTTCATCTTAATGAATTTTTCAGGCATTTAAAAAGACAGAAATCGTCACTAGCAATGCGATTATATGGCAAAGGAGGCCCACGGATTGGCGTGCTTTACGTTCCGATTCTTTGTCAGTCCGCCTTTAGAAATGTGCTGCTTTCCTCTTGCTTAGTGTAAGAACACTACAGATTAACTTCTTTTTTTAAGAAAAGAGAGGAAATAAGAGCTTCAAAGAAAATATTTTGTTAACTCTTGTGATATAATTCTTTTTAAAATTTAAATCATTTTTCCACTTTTGTATGAATTAAGGAAAATAGCTAAAAAGCATTAAAATACATAACCTTAGCAAACCAAAATAAAACTCTAAGTCTCTCTTTTTTTTTTTTTTTTTCCCCAGGGATGAGGGGTCTGAAATTTTGGCAGGGGAGAACCATAGAAACATCTTTTTAAACTAATGATGATATCACAAAAAAGGACAAATTATAATGTTCTATTGATAATTGATGGTTATTTCTTGGTTCTTCTATTATCAGGCCAGAACTCATAAAAGTAATAAGTGCCTGTTTTTGTTAAAAATAAATTGTTATTATGTAACAAATATTTTAACACTGCCTATTGCAACTTACAGCTCCTTAATTTTGTTTCTTTTATGGAAAGATATAATTAGTAAATAAATTGGCTTTTCTACTGAAATATTACTTCAAAAACATTTACTAGCTGTGTTGTCTTTCCACGGAGGCTTGCACGGTGAAAATGTGCTGCAATTAAAACCTGATGTTTGATCTTTGGTAGTTACAGCTTGGTGTGCTTTCAACTGATTTTATTTTCTGTTTTTTTTTTGTTTGTTTGTTTTTTTCAAATGAGGGATGCTAATGCAAATTTGTAGTGTGAAATTATTTGTGTCCCAAAATGTGCTTGTTCATCTGACCTTTTTTCTTCCTTGAATTCCTCCCTGATAACTATTCTCTAGCTCCTCCTTTTATGACCTCTTTGAATACTACTCTTCTCTCTGACTATTTTTAGAGTCCTCGGAGGTGGAAGAAACTGGTATGTGTTGTGTAGATGCTTATCTGAGATGCAAGCCTGAACTTGGGCGTTTTGTGTTTGTTTTCACTTGTGTGAGTGCTGCTAATGGCACTGCTGACGGGAGAGTGTGAGGCAGGGTTTGGTCTCTTCTCCTCAAGTTGCTACCAGGAGCTCAGTGTGGAGCTCAGTGTTGCCTTCTTGTACTGCATCTTGAGTGGTACCAGGGCCAATGTTGTCAACATCTGGAACACCTCTAGACTTCTTAAAATATCGTCTAGCTTGATACCATTGTATGCAAATGGCAGCTTGGGTGGAGAGTTTCTCCACCGGGCTTAACAGATGGGTGTTCCCGGTCTATCCAAGCAAGCCACTGGGTGCTCAGCACCACTGAGTCCTGTGTGGTCTTAAAGGAAGGCTGTTCACAAAGGTTCATTTGAAGAGACTCACATTTAATCACGTCCTGGTATCTTGCTCAGATGAGCTTACGTGTCTCCCAGGAGCTTAGCATAGCCCTGGTGATGAGTCTGTGTCCCCAAGAGCACGCGGGCCCTGTGTTTTGTGGGGGCGGCGCTGCCTGCCAGGGGAGCAGGAGGCTTTGGTGAGGTCAAAACTCACCACAGAACTCTTAAAGGCATAAGGCTCTGGATCGTGACACCAACCACAAGAAGCCCTCTTAAAAATCACCTTTTGTAAGTTATCTGGAAAGTCATGTGTAATTTAGGCTTTGTAGTCAGTTAGCTTTCTTCTAGAGACTTAAGAAATCCTTTAGATTTTATTCCAGAGGCTGCTATGCCCAATAGCATTTTTTTTTAGTGTAAATGAGGTCTCATGCTATGCAACTTAGGGAAGCCAACATACTACTTTCTCCGCAGTGGAATGGCTTCAGTGACAGTTTTGCCAGAGGAAGGCCTCCTTGATTGGGCAAAGATTTGAAAAGCAGTCTGAACTGCAAATTATGAAAGCAGATCTCCTAATGATTGCGTGTCATTTATAGTGTACTGGGAAAAAAATCTGATACTGTGCACATCCAATATGTAGAATGCTTTTATGAATTCCGTGGAGACATTATATGAATAACTTTTGCATTGACATGGGTATAAAAATGGGTTTCAGATGACACTATGTGCCAAATTGCTTATAAAAAAAAAGCTTCTAAATCTTCATGTATAATTTTGAGTGCACAATCATTCTCAAATGGAAAAGACAGAATTTGTATATACATTGGCAGTCTATGCATGTAAATTGGCAGTTAGCATGCATAAATCCTGGACGAAGTTTTCTTTCAATTAGACCCTTGTTAGATCCATAGTAACTCCATTAACCTCAGTGCAATTATTTTGGACTGAAAATGTAGTTAAAGCAGAAGACTCTTTTGGCTACAAGTTCATTTCTCTTTGAAAATATGGTCTAATTAGAATAGATAAAAAAAGTTTTAACAGGAAGATGGCACCTGTTTTCTTTGTCTATAAGATTATATAACATATATCTTCCTTCTCTTTTTTCTTTTTCCCTAACAGATTCATCCTGCATGGAAAAGCTACTTTCTAAAGACTGGAAGGAGAAGATGGAAAAATTAAACACAAGTGATCTCCTTGGAGAAATTAAAGGTAAGTAAGTCACTCAAATTTTAAATGTTAAAATATATTTTAAACACTGTTTCAAAGATTTGCTTGAAGTTCAGAAAAATAATATAATCATAATTTGAGCATGTTTTCCTCTTTGCAGCCAAGTCACCCAATCATCTGTTTGTCTTTAGAATTACAGAGGTCTTTGACAAATAAATAAATTAAATCATGTAATAATCAGTTATATGCAGTATCAAGAATGCTGCAACAAACACCAAGTTAGTTACATTAATTCATTGACAGTGGTTATTTAGCTCCATGTCCAAAGGAAGAAGAAGAAACATCTTGAAAACATGGAATTGTTAGTACTTGGTACTGTTTCTTTCCAATTGCATAAATTATATGCAGAAACTGCTTTCACATTATAATAAAGGGATGATAGTTTGATCACTGTTTTAAACACATTGTGGTATATTTCCAATTTTTAATCTAAGATTTGTCTTCTTGCTGTTTCTGGGGAGAAAGAGAAAGTCTGGATGCAATTCTGTAGCTACTGAAATCAGTGGGAGTTTTACTGCCCATGTAGACAGGACGTTCCAGTAAGTCCAAGATTCCTAAGACCAGAATTCCCTTGCGGAGAACATGAAGTGTTTTTTTCCCACCCACTAATTCTTCTGTCGATATTCCTATTGAAAAGATTTTCAGTGTTATTGATTAAGCAACAAATTGAAAAGATATGTTTGTGTGCTGGAAGCGGGGCTTGTAAGGCATTCTTAAAGGGTACACAAGGTACCAAGGATTTATTTTTCTTTATTGGTATAATTTTCTTAAATAGCAACTATGAATAGGTGGAAAGAAAGATTCATGTGCGCTATATTAATAAATCTTTACTAATACTAAAACAAAAAGGGAAATGTTATTTGATAAAACTTGATGCTTAGGATTTTACATTTATACCAGGGAAACTTAAGATAGTTATGTTCTTTTATTACATAAACAGCGGAAGGACTGGCCATTTGTTAGTAAGTTAACTGGTTCCTTCAGCTGATGTACAACCAAATGTAATTGTGTGTAGGTATTTTCTTCTGTTGGATTTCTCCTGTAGAAGTGTGACATGTATTAGGCATGTAAGAAACCCTCTAGTAGTGTCCGCTGCAGTAGACAGTTTTGCAAAACAGGTTAATAAACAAAAGACTGTAATAAAGATAACAAATTTATGTCTTGAAATGACATTCTGTATAAAGCTCTATTGTCTCCCGATAGCGAGGAAAACATTGAATGCTTGGTTGTCCAGTAATTGCGCAATATAGCTACTTAGTTTCTAAATAGAAACTACTTGAATGCTATTAGTGAATCAAAATTAAAAGAGGTGGGATCTCTAACAATGCAGAATAATGTTCTTTATTCTGTGAAGTGGCATAAAAAGCTTTTCATGAGCTTTCATTTACAAAAAAAAACGAAACTGTTCATTTTTCTGAAATTATGTTATTCCTCCTGTTTTCATTGGACGTATATTCACTGCAGAGTGAACTGGCAGAGTACTTGATCCTAATCCTTTTCTCATCTACCTCCAAAGCATTCTCACCCAGGCTTGGAAGGGTTTTGCAACCCATTCAATTAGCTTCCCTGGGAGTTATTAGCTGCATAAAAAGACTCATATCCTTTGGCTCACCAGAACTGAATGGTGACAGCCATTCAGTTCCTTTCCACCACTGTCTTCATATCCCTGTGAGGACAGATATGTATCCCCAGAAGTCATTTGGAAAGCAAAGAATCCTCAGCTTCAGCATCAGACCTAGGGCTACCTCCCATTCCCCCGCTGGCAGGAGTGCCAGAGGACCCACACTAGAGAGGAGATAGCAGTGGGGTGGACACTTTTGGTGTATGGTTGTTAGTATGTAGCAAAGGCTAAAACCAGTGCTTATATTATACATTGGTTATATACTGTGCTGTGGGCATATCCACAGATGATGGGACAAAACATCCTATTTTCTACAGCCTTTAACATCCTTGTGTTTTACATTGCCCTTGGCTTGGCAAGCCTGTAACTGCTCTGAGCAGTGTGGGGGAACCAAGTGTAAATGAGAATCAAATACAGCGAGTTTTATTTCTGCCCCTAAGAGGTAAGCTTGTAGAGCCCCCTTTGTCCTATCCAGGTGTCCTAAAAGCAGCTGGTGGTTGTGAGGCTGATGTGAACTGTGGTGTTAACTGTGTTTCACCTGCTCTCCTTTTCGCTCTTGCCCCCAGTGATCTGAGTCACTGTGACTTCCCCAGCGACCAAGGGCAGGAACCAGTCTGTGTGGCTTCTCCAAAGGCAGTACCCCCCTCCCCTCCCGCCCCAGTCAGGGGCATGAGAGGCAGCCTATGCCCCACTGTTTTCACCCTCTCCTCCTGCAGTCTCTTGTCGCTTCTAGCTTCTCCTAAGCACCGAGCTAGATGTGGCTGCAGCTTTTGCTGGCGGCTGCTCCTGTGGGGGGAGCTGGCACCCTTCATAGCGCCAGTGGCACCTAATGGGCTGCAATTCATACACTTCTCGAGAGCACTTTCTTGTGAAGTCTTTCAATATCTCCCCTAGGGTTGCTGTGACGAAGTGAACTGTAATACAGAAAGGTAAAGTTACTTGCACAAGGTCAGTTAATGACTTGAAGGTAGATGATGGAGTCCTGCCTTCTCCAGTACAAAATACGTTAAGGGTTCCTGTTCCTAATCCCTTGAAACTTTTCATTAAGCAGTTGTAGTGTCTGCAATATTCTTCTCTACTAGTAGTTGGCTTCCAGGAAGACTCAATGCTGAATCTTTGTCCTGTCACTGCGTTTAACATTTCTTACAAACAGCAAAAATACGAAGAAGGCACACACCATCTCAGAAGGTAAATAGAAGGAATGACTGCATTTGCAATGCTTCCACTTACAGTTTTCAAACCTCTGTACGACAGTCTCAGTGTCATTCTGTAGTTGAAGAGCACAAGGTGCAGAGGCGCACGGTGGGCTAGTGGCCGCCTGGAAGCAGGACTCCTTGCCTGTTACCTGGCCCCTGCCTCTAAGCTGGGCGGCTTCTTGCTGATAGGGAAATTGTAGCTAGTGAGGAAAATCAGGCTAATAGCTGGGTATTAACTTACATAGGCATTTGTGGATCTTAACTTGTTTCTGGAATAATCTCAGAAAGAGAAAAGAGTCATTCTAGCCTTTGGCAGCCTGAAAACTGGAGTGCAGGAAGAAAGCAAAGCAAAGGAGGTCATCCAGAGAGGACATTTTAATCTACTAAGAAAATGTATATATATAAAAAATACTTATAATATCCAAGGTGGTATATTTCCAAAATCATTTTCCAAAATCATATTGAAGTTCATTTGGATAGAGCTGAGTGGATTTCAGGCAGGTAGGTGGCAGGGCCAATGCAGGTCTGAAGAGCTGCTTTCCAAAACGCACCGTCCCCAGGACGGCAGCTGGTGTGTTGCAGCTTGCATTGCATTCCCAATCAGTATATTTAGCTGTTTGTTATTTTTCGCTTTTGTGCAGACTTACTTTCTGTTCGTGGTGTTGAGAGGCTCACCTAAAGACGTGAAGCGCTGCCGTAAAAATAAATAAATGAGGTCACTAGGGAAAAAATCTGGGTTTTAAGCAAACGAGGTGTGGTCCTGTGAGGAGCAGCTCTTTGCACTGACTGTTCCTGGGAGTCGTTTATTTTCGACAAGGCGTTGTTCTGGCGGAGGATAACCTGGGCACACACGCTCCTGCGTGGCTGCCCGGCGAGCACCCTCCCTCTCCAGGGAGAGAAGAGCATCTTGGTTGTGGGAAGAAGGTTCACTAAGACCCGTGCCAGAAAAAAAGAATGAAGGCAGCAGAAAAATTAATGTGCCACTGACACAAACTGTTTCTATTCATATTTGGGAAGCATGCAGATGAGAAGAAAAGATAATTGGGTGAGAGAAACAAATAAAAAGATGGTGTCTTCTTGCTTTACTTTCTATATTTAGAACACAATAGTGTTAATCAGGATATAATTATAAACTATATCTATTAATACAATAGAAGCCAGTATAAAAGTAGCAAACAGTGAAGCATTTATTTTTTCTGCAAGTGGGATTTTTTCTGCAAATGTTCACAATTACCCTTGCATCGTGTACTTCATTTGTGAAAGTGCTTTTTCTGAGTGTCTTTGTGCAGATTTCAGTTATTGATAAAGGGCCAGATTCTTCCTTGATTTCCAGCCAAACAAGCCATTGACTTCAGCGAGGTTGTATGAAGCTCAGAGGAGCATTTGGCAGAGTGCTTTGTAGCCAAATTCCAGTGGTTAAATAAGTCTGCTTGTTCATTTGATATGTTTATAAATGAAACACATAGGTCAGATTTTCAAAGGTCTGTGAAACAGTTGAGCTGAGTTAAATGCCATGCTCACCTAGCAAAAAAAAAAAAAAGCTCATATTCGCTCATGCTAATCATTTGATTGTATGCCAATTGCTAATGTACATGGGCATATGCATTTTTCTAAGGTGTACAAGCAACTCAGTAGGCTCATACCCAGCTTTTGCCGTTTTGCTCTTTCATTCAGCAGTTAGGAGCAGCCAAATACTTTTCATTCCACTTTGTGTTATCATGGGTTAGAATAAACAACATGATTCAGGGTCCTCATCTGTGTTTCCAGGTATTTGGGTGCCTGTTCACCCTCCCTCGCTGCATTTATTTTTGTTTCTTGGGTTTCTAGTTTTCTTCACCAGCCACAGCTAGGCAGAGTAGCATCATTTATCACTATACAGAGTCTGTTTTAAGTTTTCTGTTTCTGTTCCAAATATAAATCTCTGGAATAGCATAGTCTTGCATACATCAGGCAGTTGTCCCACTGAAATAGACTGCAATGGTCTTTCTCAGCATGCAGGGTCTTTGAAGATCAAATAAAAAAGGTCAGTCTTTAAGTAATTTAAGCAATGATGTTATCGGAAAAGGGTCGGAATTGGTCTAACAGTCTTATAGAAGAGTGACTCCTGGGTCACTGGCTACCGTGTTACCAGTTAGTTCCCTGGCTCCCATTGGTGGTGTTTACAA